GTGAAAGAATTAATTATTAATTATACATTAATAAAATCTCTAGATTTTTAGCTTTATTTTGATATATTTTTTATTAACTTCTATGCAGTAGTTTTTGAGTAATGAATAAATAAAAAATTTCAAAATTTTTTGTACCATACTGTATATACATAAGTAGCTATTTATATATTTACTAATCATATATATATACTACTTTATCAGAAATCATATAATTTCTTTTTAATTTTTCTTAAACCAATTTTATTAAAAATAGTCTAATTATTAAGCAATCAAATTTTTTTTATTTTAAACTCAAATTTTGATTCTTTGAAGTGATTAATAGATTTCTTCTTCTACCAAAACCTCTTAATTATTAAGTTTATAAGTCAAAGCATATTATATGCTTGAAGTCTTAAAATCAGATAAGATTTTTAGTCAGTTCTTTCTTAGCAATATGCAACTAGTTTAAGAATTTACTCTTCTTGTTATCAGCAAGTAATAATATGATCCTATCAAGAATAATCCTACTTGATTTCAATTAGTGATCTGATTACAATCTTTATATAGACTATCTTGTATTATAGAGATTTTGATTTTTAACAAAAATTAATAAAAACTATGGATTATCTTAATCTGTATCAGTTATACTTGAAATATTGATTAAAGATAATTAAACCAATGGATTATTTATCAGATTCTACCTGTTTTTTTGATCAGGAAAATCATATTAACCTTCTGAAAAATTTGAATCTGTAGTATATAATTTAACCTATAGAGTATTAATCACTGTACTATTGATCTATAAATAATGATAAATCCCTAAAGTATTTAACATATAAAATTTCACAGATCATTTATGTCCCTTTTTGAGAAACAAAATTCATAACTCTTCACTTTAATAGGACAAAAGTCAGTAAATATTATAAATCAATGATTTGAATAATGAAGAACAATTATGGATAGTTATTTTATAGTTATTAATTTAAAAATTTTTAATTTTTCCTAGTAAGGAACATTTGACTTTTGTTCACATCACCCTCTTTAGGAATCCATTTTTATCTATAGATCAAAATAAAAATATTTTATAATAAATTTATAAAAATAAATAATAAAAATTATAAATAGTAATAAAAGGTAAAAAAAATCAATGACTTGAAAAAGCTAAAACAAAAAAAAATATATAAAGCAATAGTAAAATATTTTATTTGTTATAGTGTGATAAAAATAGTCTTTAATACTATTGAATAGTTATTTTTAATCATAATCTTTATTTTATTTCTATTTTTATATATTTATTTATAATTATTTCTTTGATATTCTTATTGATACTTAATTAGCGTAGATCACTTTATCCAATAAAACACGTAATATAATTTACCATAGATCAGACAATCCAGAAGACCCAAGTGACCTATTTTTACAAGTATATAAGCAATCATAATTTACACAAAAGTAGAATAAGTTTGATGATAACTTTACTTGACTTTGAAAGTTTGAATATAACTTTATTTGACTTTGGAAGTTGGTAGATAACTTCATTTGATTTCTTGAAGATTGAATATCTTCTCTTGATTTTAGGACTAAAGGAATTGTTTTAGTTTTCTTGATTTATTAATAAACTTGGGTTTTGAGCGAACCATATTTCTTGTGAAATACTGTGTAACACTGTTTAAAGGATTCTTGGTGAATCTATTCTTGAATACTTCTTTAATTCTTTCTTTGGGAATTGTCCTTTTAAAAGTAATTTCACTTGAACACACTGGTCAAATATAAATTTGATCACAATAGTATTAATAATAACCAGGAAACAAGTTTGCAAAAATGCCTTAAATATTTAAAAGATACAACACAAAATATTAATTGTATTATAGAAAGAAATATATTAAAAAGATTATTAAAAATTTAATTATAACTAATTAATATTTTGTTTTTTTTTTTACAAAAGAGAGATTTAAAAGGTTTTAAAAATATAAAAAATATTATTGATAATAATATTTATTTTTTATTATATATATATTTTTTCTTATTTTAATTATAAATTAAAAATTTATTTAAAACCCCCGCATGAGTAATTTGAAAAGTTATATTGTATATCACGTCAGTTATGTTGATATGTATTTTTTAAAATATACCATATATGTATTAGTATTTAAATCATTCATTTCAAATTTATTCGAGCCAAACCTTATAGCTTCTACGCTACTGTTATATTGACGAATCCTACATTTCAGTAGAGATTAATAAAGGACAATTTAATTAATAAACCTTAAGAAAGTTTTTAATGACTTTTGAGCTTATTAGACGTAATCTCAAAGTGAATAATGTACAAAATGAACTTTATAACAAATTGAATTGAAAAAAAAAGGAAAGAAAGTAAAATAAATATACAAAATAAATATGATCTAAATCATTGTGAATAGATCGAATATTAAAGGAATGTAGTCAATATTGTCAGTCTCAATTTGAATGGGTCAACAAGCTGAAATCTTCTCATCTCATTTTCACAAGATTCTTGTCCAGTAAGGAAAGATCAATGAAGTGAAAGAATCGAATTAGCCCATGTTAGTGGGACTACTAAATCACCCACGTATTCAACTTCAATATCTTCGAGGGCTCTATTTATATCGCTCATAGCCTTAAATAACTAAAAAGAAAATCGATTACTAAAGCATCTCTCAATTATTATAAGAAACTACAAAAGACTCACCCATTCTTCATCTTCTTTGGTCACGCATCCTTCTTTTAACACAACATGCGGTGGTGGTGACGCAACTATTGGTGTCGGCTGGGACGATGAGTGAAAAGATTTTTTATTTCGAAGTTTTGGTAAAGTGTTGTGTTCTTGTATTTTTTGGAATATTTTTGTATCTAACTTGATTTCATTCATAACCTCTCTAAGAGTAATGAAAAAAGAAAGAGTGTTTGTTAATAATATAAATGGTTAAAATACGTGAATCAACATACCTGTATTCACTCGCGCGATCTATAGTATCTTGCGGTTGTAAGCGTTCGGTGGCATGTGTGTTTGATATATCAATGAAATTTCTGAAAAAAAAAGTATTGATCTTAGAACAAGTAAAAGTAAATCGAAGCCAAGAAAGAGTACAGGAAATACATACTCAGCCGCTCGTTGAACAATCTTGTTTAATAATTCTTCCTCTCTAACACGATCGTAACGCGGATATCTCGAAGTTCTGTAAAGCACAAATAAGATATAAATCTTCGTTTTTAAGCATTTTACCTTCAAAGTAAAACAATTACCTATAACTGCTGTTTCCAGGTATAAGGGGATTTTCCTCGTCCGACTGTAAAATGCAAAGGAAAATTAAGGAAATAGTTCGATAGAAACATGTAACATGTATCTTATTATGTGTATTATTTTCAACCTCTTCGGCTTCTCTGCTGTTACAACATCCCATCTTTCGTTGGTGGGAAGAATTTGTAGTGAAAGTTTTCCTATCTACATACGTTACATACTATATGTTATCAGAAGAAAGAGATGTACCTACTGAATGTGCATTACATATTGTTTGTCACACAAGAGAAACTGATTTACGGTTCTTTTATATTTGAAAAAATGAACTTTTAATATGCAAATCCTTAAAAATTTCTTTTTTGATAATTTTGAAAAACAAAGGTAGAATTATCTGAAATTAAGAAAGCAATACTCAGTAAAATTCCTTTAATTTTGTGTGGCTGTTGAAAGGTATCATATTGAAATAATATAACTCAGTTTCTACTAGATCACATAAGAACTTAGGGTCTATCATAAGTTATCTCCTATCACAGGTGAATAAAAAATCACTGCCTAAAGAAAGTTGGAACCAAGTGTGTTCTGGAAATAAAGACTCCTATTAGGTGATACTGTAAGTCTTCTTAAATGATACATAAGAAGGAAATCAAAATCAAGAATGAATAAGTTCCTTAGACAGTCAAGAAAAGATATCCCAATCAGATATTTCTTATTGAGAAGAGGTCTTGAGAAGCAGATCTTTGAAGAAAGCTCCTGAAAAAGGAATTCATTAATAGAAATAAACGGCTAACCTTCTGGGTACAAAAGAAAGAAGATGTTCTAAAATG